AAAAATTTAAAGGGGTCTGAATACTTTCCGTACCCACTGTATATACTGATGCTGACACCTCTGCAGAAATGTTACGATCATCTCTTTGGAGCAGAGCCAGAGGCCTATGATTTAAGAGTTAATGATCACATCAAAATCAAACTGTCTGAAAGTAGTTTTAATAATTAGTGACTCTCACTTAATCCATATAGTAAAGTGGCTCTGTGAAGCTACACTTTGGCACAGTGGTGCTTTGAGGTAAATGCTAACATCAGCTGTTTAGTGAGTATAAAGTTAAACTTGCTCACCATCTTTGTTTAGCTGCTAAGATCTAAACACAAAGAGCAGCAGAGGCTGATGGGACTGTCAAGACTTTTGCAGGTCATAAAGTATTGGACAACAAAACAGCACTGACACTGATCGCAGGCACTGTATGTATATAATAGAAGTTGAAATGTCTTTCATAGTTTATATTTTTATTCTATATACTTTTACTTGTTTTTTTTTACTTTCATCTATTCATCTGTACTTATTTCTGTCTTTGTGCTGCTGCAACACCTGAATTTCCCCCCTGGGGATCAATGAAGGCTTTATCTTAAATTAAAAATGTTGACCTGATGATGACGCTAGATGAAAAGTTAAGGGATCACCAAAGATATTATTATTCATTCTGAAGGTCAACAATGATGTGTATCAAAATGTCATCCAATAGTGCTCCAAACACAGCTGAACAAACTCTTACTTGTATTATTTTTTGTGTGCACACAGAAAGTCCAGCAGATGGCAGCAAAGACATTTGGCCCAATAATGCTGACGTTAGCTATTCTATGATCCCTTTAAAGAGGGAGAGGTAGCCCCCTGTGCCATTAAGGGCAAAGAGCCTGGAGGGTTTCATCCCGACCAGAGAGCACAGCCACTGATGTCACTGACTCTCACACACCTTCGATCAACGAGGACATACCCGACAGTAACCCCGTTTCAATCAAATAAAGACTATTTGCCCTCCATGGCACATGATCAAAGTCCTTCTCATGAAGGCGCAGTGGGCATGTTATACTTTAGATCTCCATAGAAACAGGAAAGCAAAAGAGGACAGACTTTAGCTCCCATCAGCCTCAGGGCCTCTCTGTCCTGCCCTGCCATTGGCTGCTACTCTCCAGTCCTAGTGGCTGCTCTGCTCCCCGAGGATCAATGTTGCTGCAGGAACAATAGAAAGCAAGAGAGGAAACACACCCTGTCCTTGGAATCTAAAAATGTCATCACACACACACCAGAATACACACATTTTATCCCTATCTCTAACAGGAAGGAGGTTTTTTTGTTCTTGTCTGTGGATTAACGGCTTTAGTGGTGCATGCAAAGTTTGCGAAGTTTGTTAGTCTGGGTGTTCGTTCTCTTACAGGCCAAAACACACCAGGGTTAGTGTCTGTGTGAATGGGACTATTTTGTCCAGATGTATAATAAATAGATTTGAAACTACTCTGCTCTTGGCTACTATACCAAAATTAAGATGCATGACTCACTCTTCCCCAGTCAATGAACGTACGAACCATGGCTGTTACCTAAAATGTTTTGATTTCTATAACGGTTTTCTTGAAAGACATGTTTGGCTGTTTCTCAAAAGGCCACTGTAGGTAGCTGTTCCAGTCTGACTTTTCACTGCAGTAGCTACAAAAATGTTTCTAAAAGGCTACTTCTATGGAGCTCAATGGCGGCCTTGTCCAGCTGTGTGTGTTGGGGGAGTTGCTTCTGTCTCCAGGCTCTTAAACTTGACTGATAGCTGTGGAAGAGAGCCACAGGAGTCCAACTAGACCTGCCCTGCAACTGTGCATGTATAACAGTGTGTGTGTGTGTGTGTGTGTGTGTGTGTGTGTGTGTGTGTGTGTGTGTGTGTGCGCCGTTGAGCCAACAGGTCTTATATAGAAAGTCAGACCACAATAGCAGGTTGTAGTTAGACACTGTAAGTATTCATCAAGATCTTTTTCGATCTCCTGCTCTTAAAATGCATTGGCCTTGTTGCATTCACGTTGCACAGAGTTGTCCCAACACACACACACTCATACACACACTCACACACACACACACACACACACACATTCCGGTGGTCACTGCAGTGCAGCTTAAATACTCACTTTGACCAAAAATCGTTAAGTATATGTTCTTTTTCAGAGTCACACACCTTGAATCTACATTCCTGTTATGTTTTAATTTGCAGTGATAGTAGTAGAATAATTTAAATACAGTTGTGTGAAAAAGTGTTTGCCCCCTTCCTGATTTCTTATTTTTTTGCATGTTTGTCACACTTAAATGTTTCAGATCATCAAACAAATTTAAATATTAGACAAAGATAACACAAGTAAACACAAAATGCAGTTTTTAAATGAAGGTTTTTATTATTAAGGGGGAAAAAAAATCCAAACCTACATGGCCCTGTGTAAAAAAGTGATTGCCCCCCCCTGTTAAAACATAAATTAACTGTGGTTTATCACATCTTTGGAAAGCTGAGTTCAATTTCTCTAGCCACACCCAGGCCTGATTACTGCCACACCTGTTCTCAATCAAGAAATCACTTAAATAGGACCTGCCTGACAAAGTGAGGTAGACCAAAAGATTCTCAAAAGCTAGACATCATGCTGCGATCCAAAGAAATTCAGGAACAAATGAGAAACAAAGTAATTGAGATCTATCAGTCTGGAAAAGGTTACAAAGCCATTTCTAAAGCTTTGGGACTCCAGCGAACCACAGTGAGAGCCATTATCCACAAATGGCGAAAACATGGAACAGTGGTGAACCTTCCCAGGAGTGGCCGGCCGACCAAAATTACCCCAAGAGCGCAGCGACGACTCATCCAAGAGGTCACAAAAGACCCCAGAACAACATCCAAAGAACTGCAGGCCTCACTTGCCTCAATTAAGGTCAGTGTTCATGACTCCACCATAAGAAAGAGACTAGGCAAAAATGGCCTGCATGGCAGAGTTCCAAGACGAAAACCACTGCTGAGCAAAAAGAACATAAAGGCTCGTCTCAGTTTTGCCAGAAAACATCTTGATGATCCCCAAGACTTTTGGGAAAATACTCTGTGGACTGACGAGACAAAAGTTGAACTTTTTGGAAAGTGTATGTCCCATTACATCTGGTGTAAAAGTAACACGGCATTTCAGAAAAGGAACATCATACCAACAGTCAAATATGGTGGTGGTAGTGTGATGGTCTGGGGCTGTTTTGCTGCTTCAGGACCTGGAAGACTTGCTGTGGTAAATGGAACCATGAATTCTGCTGTCTACCAAAAAATCCTGAAGGAGAATGTCCGGCCATCTGTTCGTGACCTCAAGCTGAAGTGCACTTGGGTTCTGCAGCAGGACAATGATCCAAAACACACCAGCAAGTCCACCTCTGAATGGCTTAAGAAAAACAAAATGAAGACTTTGGAGTGGCCTAGTCAAAGTCCCGACCTGAATCCGATTGAGATGCTGTGGCATGACCTTAAAAAGGCGGTTCATGCTCGAAAACCCTCCAATGTGGCTGAATTACAACAATTCTGTAAAGATGAGTAGGCCAAAATTCCTCTACAGCGCTGTAAAAGACTCATTGCCAGTTATCGCAAACGCTTGATTGCAGTTGTTGCTGCTAAGGGTGGCCCAACCAGTTATTAGGTTTAGGGGGCAATCACTTTTCACACAGGGCCATGTAGGTTTGGATTTTTTTCCCCCCTTAATAATAAAAACCTTCATTTAAAAACTGCATTTTGTGTTTACTTGTGTTATCTTTGTCTAATATTTAAATTTGTTTGATGATCTGAAACATTTAAGTGTGACAAACATGCAAAAAAATAAGAAATCAGGAAGGGGGCAAACACTTTTTCACACAACTGTAGTATGAT